ATGCATATACAGGGTAAATTTTGCAAATAAATACATAAATACCCTAATCTTGAATTAATTAATGAAATAATGGTTCAATCATTTGCTTTCGAGGCCCTAACCTAGAGCGATTAGGTCCTCCACGTTATCAGCTTGAGGCGGCTTGGGCACTTTCTCAGCCGCCTGTGTCGACATGTACCGTGGGCTTGCACCGCATGATCGCACATTGAGAGTGAGTGAGAGAGAGAAAGCGCAGATGATTCCATACAAAGTTTGCAATTTCTGCAACGAAAGGTGGAGAGTGCTTCACACGTAGAGCAGCCAAGATCAAAACCAAATCCACAAAATCTTAAGCCATTTACACAGTTTTTTTTTGCAAGACAGACCCCTGTCCTCCGCGTCGCCTCTCTGGCGACTCGGGCGGAGTCCCTAATCCAGCGCCGCCGGTCCCCTCCCCACCTCCTTCCCTCACCTCGCCGTCGCCGGAAGACACCGTCGGGCTAGGCCCGCGCGGTGGGGCCTTCTCTCTGCCTGGCAGTGGGGGAGGCTCGTCTCCTCTCTACTGCGTCGTGTGGCTGCTCTAAAGCTGACGTGGTATACCTGGGCGTTGTGCCGTGTGGGTTTCACACGCTCCTTGGCGTTGCATGGCTCTTGCCGTCTCAGCGCCTCACGTGCGCGGGAGGTGGCGGCCCATGGATCTGGCCGGCTGCGGCTGGATCCGGCTCGTCCGCGTCGGTGGCTCGATTTGGCGGGCTTCGAGGGGCCCTCTAGCGGCTCGGCCTGGCGGATCAGGGGCGGGGTGGTAGCCCTCCCCTTCGGCTCAGGTGATTTCTGGTGGCTGTGAGCAGCTAACGGCAATGCAACGGGTGTGGGTATCAGATCTGTCTGGGATTGGTCTGTTCTGGCTTGCCTGCGTTTGCCGGCGACGAGGAAGGAGCTGGCCCTGCGTAGCGTTGGTGTGCTCGCTGCATTGGGGGTGCGTGGACCTGTGGAGGTACAGCGTGGCAATGGTGGTTGTGCTACTCCGGGTGAAAGCCTGGCTGGCGGCGACGGCGACGACGTCTGTGGGCGTCGTTATCCTCCTTCGATGCGTAGTCGGGGAGATCTACGCATCCTCAACTCCGGATCAAGATCTTCGGGCGAATGCCAAGATCCTGCTGCAGGGTTGCGTCGTTATCCTCCTTCGATGCGTAGTCGGGGAGATCTACGCATCCTCAACTCCGGATCAAGATCTTCGGGCGAATGCCAAGATCCTGCTGCAGGGT